TATTTGCTTCACGGCATACCAGCTACAGCAGAGCATCGATTTATTAATTTTCGTAGATTAATTTACGTGACCCACCGTTTAGCCTGTTCTTTACATATATTTCACGGTATTGTGCTAGCACCAAGGAGCCTAGCCCAGAACGTTGCAGAAAACGTGCTCTGTTAATGCCAGCGTTTTTAAAACATGAGAAAACGAACGTTCAAAAACAGGGTAAATATGTAACTGTTACAGTACGTGACCGATATCATGAAATGCTGGCCAAAGTTCTGGAATGCGTTTTCGAGTAGGAAGGATGTCCTAAGTGGAGTTGTTGATCATGCGGTAGAAATTTACGGCTTCTTCCAGTGTTATACTTGAAGGTGTTTTATTCGGTTTTCATAAACCTTTCCAATTCTCTGTTCAGAAGTAACGGCATCTCCAACCCGAATCCCCCCCTCGGAACCAAGATCTTTTCACAACTGGGTCAATCGCGCAATTCTGATATGCCAATAAGCCTATAAATGAGACATCGATTTCTCACAACCACTACTTTTAGGAAACATGCCGTCCATTGTGCAGGCTCGAATGTAAATCACGTTGTTTAATGTTCGCCAAAAGGAGTTTAAATCAATTAATCCAATGCCATTACAAAGGACCGTTCGTGAATTCCGAAACTTTTTTCCGTAGCATACTTTATAGGGCAAGTGGGCCAAAAATTAAAAGGATATAATTGATATCTGCTGGGATTTTTAAGGTTATGTTTACCAGTCTTTTAAAAGCAGACATGATCATCGATTATTTCCTGTTTGTTTCAACTGTATATTCCTGTTAGCGATTTCGATCAACATGATAATTGTGGACACAATCACCATATTTCAGCTCTTATTATATTTTTGCTGTTTTTTTGATGTCCCCTTTGTGACTGCGAACGCATTTTAATATCTAAATAACAATTTGGTTGTGTCAAAGTAGGCAATATCGGGTTTTACTTCAATGTTTTGAAACACTCAGTATTTGGGTAGTAAATATTGGATACTTCTACTTCAGGAAGTGAAATTTGGGAAAAATCTTCCGTCGCATATAGCTGGAATTTGCTATGTATATTTTTTGGCGTTGGCCTACTAACGTTGTGAAATTCAGAACAGATAGTAAGAGGTAAATCCCACAGGTTTTTCCTTGCAATCGAACTGAAGCTTCCTCGAAAATTACACTTCTGTTATAGTATATATTTGAATACATGTCACATTTGGCATTAGGTTAATTCTTGGGAGACATTTAATAGCGAACTATATAAAAATAATAGCTACAAAGGTCGTTCTACTTCTGCAGTCTTATTTACTCGGCTAGTTATATGGATAGGATTGATGTACTTCTAGTATTGGGCTTATTTATTTCCCCAAATGTTTTACTTCTCGAAATTTCGTTGTTCTTACGATAATTGTTACTTTTACTAATAAATATTGCTTCATACTCAATTTGAAGGCAGTATGATAATGACTGGGCGGTTTATTGAAATACTTTTTTGCCGGCTCCTGATTTATTAGACGTCTTTCATAAATCCACTGACATTTCAAGCACTAAGTCTACGGTGATGTGTCTGAGAGGTACCTGAATGATTGCAGATCATTTGTCCTTTTGTATGATTTACATCAATGCATTTAATCTGAAAGATATTTGACATCATTTTTAAGTTCTGGCATCACAAAATGTACTACATTTCGCCTGAATAAAGACATTTTGTAAAAACAGATATCAGGCTAGAATAACGTTTTCAAAACTGCACGACGGGAGTCTTCGTGCAGGATGTAGGGTTCGCTAATTCAGAAGACGGACCCTTCCGAGCACGACACAACTTATTACCTAAATTCCACACCCTATCGTGCAACAATATCGCTTCTTGATTGGACAGCATGAAGCCGGATAATAACGTCGGCAAGAGTACGAGTCTGTCCATTGACCGCTTCGAATGAAAATAACCTATCCCTCTTGGAAACTCAACCAATGCAACCGAGTACCTACGGGCAAGAATGCCAACCGTTCTGCTTTACAATGGGGAGGATACGCTGTTTGTGAAATTTTTACAGCATCAATTACCTCTAAACCAGCAGCTGATTTCGCAAATTATATGAAACAGGGCACAACATGCCTTTCTATGCACACAACGCTCGCCTCCCCGCCCCAATTGTATTTCTTAACATGCACACATACGGTAGGTGATCTAACACATGAAACATGAGGACGAAAAATGAGACGATCAATTTTAGGCGCCCAAAATGTTGCAAATTTTATTCATTCGTTTAACCAGTTCCGGAAAACGCCCCCCTTGACATGCATAATACGTTTTTGAATGGTTTTTCACTTAAAATGTCTGCAGGTATGAGCGAAAGTTTGACTAACCTGGTATTCGGACAATTTCCTATGCTAATAACTGTCTCAAGCTAAGTTCTCGCATTTAGGCAAGAATAATCCGGAGAGTAATATAAACTCGGTGGGTTTACCGAACGGAACTTGTCGTAATTGAAGAAGGATTTTTTTCTACACGTATATTTGATGGACCAGGATGTATGCAAAAAGGTTATTTTCGGAAAAGCAGACATTTTACTGATCGCAAAAAATTAATTTTCACATAAGTGTAACTTCATGCACCGAAACGCAGTAATAACACCTACACACTATCCTTTGATTAAACGTTCCAACACTTTCATACCCTTTGGGAATACTACCGCGAAACGACCCCCACCATGTGTCTATGCTAACTTTATCCACTCTGAGGAATCAAAAATGACATGGGCAAAAGATGAGAAATCACATTCATAAAAGGAGGCCTTAAACTAAGCAAAAATAGCAAAAAGCTACAATATGAAATGCGAATTCTTTTGTTTATATAAGAAAAATTGTCACTATTTTTCAGGGAGTCATTTCCGTGACCTTGGCTTGGAAAAGACTATGCACGTGGGCATCCATCAGTACGCTACCGTACTAAATCGCTTTTAAAAGAGGCGAACTATTTAGGTTTCTCAATTCATTTAGAGTGCATTCATTATTGACTTTCGCCTTTGGCGTTTATTTTTCTCGCCGATGAGGGTTGATGTTAGGGTGAGTGTACAAATATGACCAGCTCCGTCTAGCCGCCTCAGCCTCCACGGAGTCGAAGGGGGCTCTCGAAGGGCTCAGCAGAACCAATGGTGGGCTATAGAGGAGCAATTGGCCGAGACAGTCTCCTTTGGCCCCGCTGCCGAAGAAAATTCACAGGAACGTTGGGTTTTTTCCGCTTTATGTTCCTTGTCTTGCGACATCGATTTTCCACTCGATGTGGTACCTTTACCTCCCCGAAGTCTGACTGATAACCAGCCGTATGAAGTTACTTAGATGACTCCTATGCTGTATTCACTGTCTCAACACAAATAAATTGCTACAGACACTTTATTCTAAAAAAGCTATAAAAACTTGTGAACAGTTATAATATGTTTCCCTTCTGATGTGTTATATGAAACAAAAATGGTATACGCACTAGTGCACCTGCCAATTCTATTCAAATTTATTTGTCGCCGACTCGTCCGTCAAGGTGTCACCCTATGAACTATTCTATTTCGGTGATGTGCCGCTCGGCGAAATCAGGCGAATTCGTATTTGCTCTAATCAGTCGCATCTGAAGCAATGCATAAACAGAAAAGTTGTGGCCAATTCTCGTAGGCTGTTTTCTAGCCCCCAGACTTGTCATTACAATAATTCCTAAAGGATATTTAAGTGCAAACGTCACTTAGGCACTACCTTCAAACGTTATTCTACTTGTGCCGTTTCATTTAAGTAGTGTTTGTATGGACAGTCTTTCCGCACTCATGAAACTTAAGTTTACTCAGGTACAACGGTTTTGGACGTTTTCGCAACTTCCGCCCATCTAAAAAAAAGTGTTATTTCTGAGCAAAGTGACATTGCCTCATGATCTGCTATATGCCTTAAATTCGTTTGAAGTCGTCGGCCGCCCATTTTGAGTTTCGATCTATTCGTTTTTTGCCGGTTTGCGAGCGATCCATAAGGTTCGACACATTACATAAATTACAACATTTACGGAATGCCCCGTCATACTCTGCGTCACGCACCTGGCAACATACGAGGTCTCAGTTGGTAATTACGTCAGTCAGTTAATGTGAACAAGTCTCGCGGATCGTTTGAAAAAGTTGACAACCCGCGTCAGGCATGCTTGCAATTGAATTACCCGGTATCAGCCTGCACAATTCTCCGTCCATAGCACGTCTAATCTGCCTTTAATACCCCAAGCACATTAGCTGGGAACTCTGCTTAAAGGAACGCTTTTCGAGACTGAACTTGTTCGGGCTCTGTGATGAATGATCGCCGGCGGTCACTTATCATCCACACATCATTTTGTCCTGTTACATATTCCTGTCTGCACAAATTAATCACTTTCAATTAATATTTGCGCGTTTCGTCATAAGTTGTTTGCTGGTCTTTCGGGGGCACATACGTAAACGAGTGGTATCGCTGTATATAACGAAGCATGCGGCAAATCCTTTTGTCAATGAACCTCCAGAAATCCGATTTAAGTACTATAGTCCGCATAACACATAATCAGAGCCAGATGCATTGATGAGGAGCAGGACGCATGTATTACTGAGATATGTTAATACCCGCATCATGCACATTTCTCTATACCCAGTTAAATATTTAAAACATTCCTACGAAGAATATCCTTCACGCGGCACGACGTAGTCCTCTCAAATGATAATTAGTAGATAATTATTCCTAATGCCCAAGCCTGTGGTTCCGTCAAAAAATAAACCAGGAGGAAATTTACTAAACGCTTGAAACGTCCGCTCAAAGGCAAAGTTCTGAATATCACGCATATTTGCACAGTCCGCAAACAGAGCATCGAAAACAGAAAGAGATAGGACGAAAAAAGGGACCTGGGTTATACCAAAAAGTATTAATGATAAAACCACACAAAGAAGGACAAGTTAACTAAACGAAATATGATGTAAAATACAATTTCCCCTTAACTAAATCTACGGATAAGCTAAGATAAAAAGCATAACAGATACAAGCCAGCAGTACGCAGGCGATAGTGGTGAAAAACCAGACGTGGAAATGCTATCAGTCTGTGCACTGGCGGCAATGGATTGAGAAGATTCAGTCGAAGCAGAAAGAGTTGTAGGATGCGCGGATTCCGCGGAGAACTGGTAGTCGGTAGAGTGTGAGGCGTCACTAAAGGAGACGTATTGGCTGGGCTCTGTGTTCACACCACTGGGAGACGACAAAGGCGACGAGAACTCGGCAGGATGTGATGGTTCATTGGAGGACTGAAAGTGGGTAGAGTATGTGGTTTCAGTGGAAGAGAAGGCCTCGCTTGACTCCGTGTTCACACCACCGGGATACGACAACGACGAGTCGGCAGGCCGTGAGGCTTCAGAAGATGACTGGTAGTTGGTAGAATGTGTTGTTTCAGTTGAGGAGACAGACTGGTCTAGCTCTGTGTGCACACCACTGGGCGACGACGACGACTCGACAGGATGTGAGGCGTAGGTAGAGGACTGGTAGTGTGTAGAATGTGTGGCTTCAGTGGAGGAGAAGGCCTCGCTGGGTCCCGTGTTCACAACACTGGAAGAAGGAGAGGACTCGACAGGCTGTGAGCCGTAGGTAGAGGACTGGTAGTGGGTAGAGTGTGTAGCTTCAGTGGAAGAGAAGGCCTCGCTGGGTCCCGTGTTCACAACACTGGAAGAAGAAGAGGACTCGACAGGCTGAGAGGCGTCAGTAGAGGACTGGTGGTGGGAAGACTGAGTGGCTTTAGTGGAGGAAAAAGCCTCGCTTGACTCCGTGTTCACACCACTAGGAGACGACAACGACGAATCGGCAGGCCGTGAGGCTTCAGAAGATGACTGGTAGTTGGTAGAATGTGTGGTTTCAGTGGAGGAGGCAGACTGGCCAAGCTCTGTGATCACACCACTGGGCGACGACGACGACGACGACGACGACGACTCGGCAGGTTGTGAGGCGACAGTAGAGGACTGGTAGTGGGTAGCGTGCGTAGCTTCAGTGGAAGAGAAGGTCTCGATGGACCCTGTGTTCAGAAAACTGGGAGAAGTGAAGGACTCGACAGGCTGTGAGGCGTAGGTAGAGGACTGGTAGTGTGTAGAATGTGTGGCTTTAGTGGAGGAGAAGGCCTCGCTGGGTGCAGTATTCACAACACTGGGAGAAGAAGATGACTCGACAGGCTGTGAGGTGTAGGTAGAGGGCTGGTAGTGGGTAGAGTGTGTAGCTTCAGTGGAAGAGAAGGCCTCGCTTGACTCCGTGTTCACACCACTAGGAGACGACAACGACGAATCGGCAGGCCGTGAGGCTTCAGAAGATGACTGGTAGTTGGTAGAATGTGTGGTTTCAGTGGAGGAGACAGACTGGCCTAGCTCTGTGTTCACACCACTGGGCGACGACGGCGACGACGACTCGGCGGGTTGTGAGGCGCCAGTAGAGGACTGGTAGTGGGTAGCGTGCGTAGCTTCAGTGGAAGAGAAGGTCTCGATGGACCCTGTGTTCAGAAAACTGGGAGAAAAGGAGGCCTCGAGAGGCTGTGAGGCGTCAGTAGGGGAGAGGTAGTGGGTAGACCGTGTGGTTTCAGGGGAGGAGATGGCCTCGCTCGGTCCCGTGTTCACAACACTGGGAGAAGAAGAGGACTCTACAGGCTGTAAGGCGTAGGTAGAGGACTGGTCGTGGGTAGAGTGTGTAGCTTCAGTAGAGGAGAAGGCCTCGCTTGGTCCCGTGTTCACAACACTGGGAGACGACGAAGACGACGACCCGGCAGGCTGTGAGGGTTCAGTAGAAGACTGGTGGATGGTAGACTGTGTGGTTTCAGTGGAGTAGACAGACTCGGTAGGCTCTGTGCTCACAAGGCTTGGAGACGAAGCATCGACAGGCTGAGAGGCATCAGTAGAGGACTGGTGGTGGGAAGACTGTGTGGTTTCAGTGGAGGAGACAGACTCGCTTGACTCTGTGTTCACATCACTGGGAGACGACGACGACCACTCGACGGGCTGTGAGGCTTCAGAAGTTGACTGGTAGTTGGAAGACTGTGTGGTTTCAGTAAAGGAGATAGACTCGCTAGGCTCTGTATTCACATCACTGGTAGACGACGACGACCACTCGGCGGGCTGTGAGGCTTCAGAAGTTGACTGGTAGTTGGAAGACTGTGTGGTTTCAGTAAAGGAGATAGACTCGCTAGGCTCTGTATTCACATCACTGGGAGACGACGACCACCACTCGGCGGGCTGTGAGGCTTCAGAAGTTGACTGGTAGTTGGAAGACTGTGTGGTTTCAGTAAAGGAGATAGACTCGCTAGTCTCTGTATTCACATCACTGGAAGACGACGACGACCACACGGCGGGCTGTGAGGTTTCAGAAGTTGACTGGTAGTTGGAAGACTGTGTGGTTTCAGTAAAGGAGATAGACTCGCTAGTCTCGGTATTCACATCACTGGAAGAGGCTGTCGACGACTCGGCAGGCTGTGAGGCTTCAGTAGAGGACTGGTGGTGGAAAGACTGTGTTTCTTCAGTGGAGGAGAACGAGTCACTAGTCTCTGTGTTCACACCACTGGTAGACGCCGACGTCGAATCCGCAGGCTGTGAGGCGACAGTAGAGGACTGATGGTGGGTAGATTGTGTGGTTTCAGTGGAGTAGACAGACTCGATATGCTCTGTGTTTACAACATTTGGAGACGACGACTCGGCAGGCTGTGAGGCGTCAGTAGAGGACTGGTCGTGGGTAGACTGCGTGGCTTCGGTGGACGAGACAGTCTCGCTGGGCTCTGTGTTCACATCACTGGGAGACGACGACGACGACTTCGACGACTCGACATGCTGTGAGACTTCAGTAGAGGACTGGTGGTAGGCAGATTGTGTGGTTTCAGTGGATGAGAGGGAATCGCTACCCTCTGTGCTAACACCACTTAGAGACGAAGCATAGACAGGCTGAGAGTCGTCAGTAGAGGACTGGTGGGGGGAAGGCTGTGTGGTTTCAGTGGAGGAGACAGACTCGCTGGGCTCTGTGTTCACATCAACTGGATACGACGACGAGGACGAATCCGCAGGCTGTGAGGCTTCAGTAGGGGACTGGTGGTGGGTAGATTGTGTGGCTACAGTGAAGGATAAAGTGTCACTAGGCTCTGTGTTCACACCATTAGGAGACGACGACGACGACAACTCGGTTCGCTGTAAGGCTTCAGAAGATGACTGGTACTTGGTAGACTGTGTGGCTTCAGTGGAGGGGACAGACACGCTAGGCTCTGTGCTCAAACCACTGGAAGACGACCACGCCGCCTCAACAGGCTGTGAGCCTTCAGCAGAGGACTGGTGTTGGGATGACTGTGTTTCTTCAGTGGAGGATAAAGAGGCACCAGTCGCGGCGTTCATACCACTGGGTGACGACCAGGACGATTCGGCAGGCTCTGAGGCTTCAGTAGAGGACTGGTGGTGGGTAGATTGTGTGGTTTCAGTGGAGGGGACAGACTCGCTAGGCTCTGTTCTCACACCATTTGGAGACGACGTCTCGGCAGGCTGTGAGGCGTCAGTAGAGGACTGGTGGTTGGTAGACTGAGTGGTTTCAGTGGTGTATACAGACTCGCTAGGCTCTGTGTTCACACCACTTGGCGACGACGTCTCGGCAGGCTGTGAGGCGTCAGTAGAGGACTGGTGGTTGGTAGATTGCGTGGCTTCAGTGGAGGGGACAGACTCGCTAGGTTCTGTGTTCACACCACTTGAGGACGAAGCATCGACAGGCTGAGAGGCGTCATCAGAGGATTGGTGGTGGGAAGACTGTGTTTCTTCAGTGGAGGAGAAAGACTCAGTAGTCTCTCTGATCACACCACGCGGTGACGACCACGACGATTCGGCAAGCTGTGAGGCTTCAGTAGAGGCCTGGTGGTGAGTAGATTGCATGGTTTCAGTGGAGGAGAAAGGCTCGTTGGGTTCTGTGTTCAAACCACTTGGAGACGACCACGAGGACTCGGCGGGCTGCGAAGTTTCAGCAGTGAATTTGTTTGGGGTAGATTTTATGGTTGCAGTGGAGGAGAACGGTTCGCTATTCTCTGTGTTCACACCACTGGGAGACGAAGAGGTCTCGACATGTTTTGAGTTCAAATCCTCTGTAGTCTCTGAGCTTTCGATTCCAGGTACATTTGTAGATTTAAACGTTTGAATTCCGTTTGTGTTCCCTGAAGATCCTGTTTCAATCGATAGCTGGCCATGTACTTCTTTCGACGCTGCAATTTTAAATAATGTTTTTATCACATTACGCTTTACAAGAAAATTCTAAGATTAATCATGGCAATCATTGCTTACGACATACCAAATATAACAACTGCCAGGATGAGCAGGACGTTGTATGGACTGTTTATCATCGCTTTTCTCGGTAGTTCTAAAATAGGCATACAACATTGTGTGAAATTTAAGGAATACCCAGCTTCTATTTTAATTTTCGGCAAACCGAATTCCCTAATTTACCTCAAACACTCTGGGGACGATGACCGTCTACCTTCTGGTGTCTCCATTTATGACTGCTTAAATATCCGTGCGTGATGCTCTAGGCACAAGCAATTGGTTGGTTTTCCCTCTAGGCAAGTGCGTGCAATTGACTCGAATTACGAATTCATACCTGTCATCCTGAAAGCTGAGCCGTGGGCGGCGGGGGGCGGGATTCTCTCGAGATGATTGTATGCACGCTTCTCTCTATCTCTCATGTGAGCACGCTCAGGTGCAATTTTATCGTTTTTGTACTCCTGTTTGATTCCAAATTTAGCAGCTCTAATATTCAGTACGACTGATTGCTCGTTAACTGCGAAGAACTGACACTAACGCAGATTCAGTACTCCTTGGAGACTTTAGTTCACATTAGCGTAATGCCCATTCACGCCGACCAACAGACTGCACTTGCCTTCTGCGAGCCGTTTGTGCCCTAAGGAATCTCGTATGGCGACCGCACAGACACACGGGTGTTGCGTTGTTAAGCGATTGTGAAACGTGTTAGCGCCGGCGACGACTACTCTGACCACTTAAATCCACACCATATCTGAGAGTTTACGGACTAGATGCCCCTCTTCTTCCAGAATGCGACCTCAGGCATCTGGTTGGACCTTCGCAGCAGCGATACATGACCTGCAAGGGCAAATTGCGAGGTATGGACTAACCGAAGGGAATGATTCAGGAGATTGGCAGACACTTATGTCCTTTCAAACGAGCATTAATGCTGTTTTGCTTCTGAAGATTAAGAAAATGGAAAAACCTAACACTTATTTGACCTTCTAGGAGGAACAACCAAAATTGCGTGGAACCAAAAGAAATTCCTCTTACGAGCATTCATTTCTAGATATATATACATAGTCTAGAAATTAATGAAAAGAAGAAATGGAGACTTGAGTTTGACTTTACGAAGTTCTACCGAGTTCACTTAGACGCTTAAGTTGGCACTGGCATGGCAAGAATGTTTAGCGGTCTAACAGAGCAAACGCACATACAGCACTATGTCACGCACGACGTCGATTTTTTTAAAAACGCCATCTACTAGCTGTCTAAAATAATCATCATTTATAGAAATAATCAACAGTCGATTGAACGATTTTTTCTCATAATACCCGTTACGCTTATGAATTCAAATTTTACTTATGTAAATTTATTGTGGATGGAGTATTTTCTCTCATGTTCCTTTTATATCCTATTAAGTCCTCTTTAAATTTCTGCCCGAAAAATTGGCAGGCTTGGATTTCGATAGATATCGTAATTTTCGGTTTTTTAAGACCGCGAACTGGATATACTAATAACTTCGTATCCGTATGTTAACACTGCTGTCTGTGGTATATACAACATAGCCCATGCCGAATACAAAATAAGGTAAGTCATACAACCTAGCTGACGCGTCTCATGAATATGAATATCATTGAAAATCTGAAACCAGTTGGAATTTATCCTTTAAAACATTCACCTTCTGGTAAACGACCTCCAACTGAATTAATCCTGGCTGATGATACAAAGTTCAAAGGAGAGAGGCAAAATAAAGACCAAACAGAGAACGTGGAAGCACAACTTACAAAACGTCTTCGGAAATTGAAAGTCTCTTTTCCTAATGAATAAGAATTCAAAGCTCTCAAGGCCCCAGGCACAATAGTTCCAAGGCTCTATGGTTTGCGAATTATTAATAGACCAGACGTTCCGATGAAGCTGCTATTAGACATGATTAATTACCTAATCATGCAATTCCTAATTGGCCGTCAGAAAGGCTTATGCCGATTGGACACCGAATGGCTCCACATAGTTTACGGGACACGTATTTAATTCGTCGATTTTTATTAGACGTATAGATTTCAATCGGAAAACGATGTTATCCCTAGAAGTCGAGTCTTTGTTCGCTAAAATTCCTCTCATAAAAGAGATAGAATTGGTACGTGGCGAGATTTAAAGGCTGGTCTATCCAATCGAAATGCCGGCCGGAGACCCAAAGGAATTTCTATTTCGCTGGGCGTTAAATGTCCAATTCATATTCGATGGCCAATTTTACCACCAGATCGACGACTTAGCTATGAGATCACCCCTTGAACCTCTACTAGCTGAGGTCTTCATGCGAAAACTAGAGAAAAACCAGCTATGTTCAATTATAAAAGAATTTCATTTCTATGCTCGATGAGTCGATGACACTTTCGCGATAGCGAATGAAAGGCTTGACTTAGACGCTCTCCTGCGTAAAGTGAGTCGTTCTCACGCAGCGTTAACTCTCACCTTGGAAGAAGAGAACGGAGAGTGCCCCCCCCGTTTTCGATGATCTAATTAATCGAATACTGGATGGGACAATTAGTAGAAGTGTATTTCGCAGGGAAACATGGGCAAGGCAATACATACATTTTTACAGTTTTGTCCCGCTAAGCTAGAAACGAAGCTTGGTCCGCTGCCTCGTCAACCGAATGAAATCACCACTATACAAAACACTGAGAGAGAACGGCTACCTCGGAAAGTTTATGGAAGATTGTCCTTCAAAATCTGATGTGTCGATGACCGAGAAGTGGAAATTATTTCCAACACTGCCATTTGGAGGGGATCTGCCGAACGAACTCCTACATCGTCGCTTAAACGCTGCTATCGCACGCACGTACCCAGCCGCTAAGATAAGACTGGTTGTCGCAAGCTCTCAGCTTCCTCGCCTTGAAGGTAAGGATAGACTGCCTTTTCAAACATCCTCAGTGTACATCTAACCCTTCACCTGGCCCCGTTGGGTAGGTTATAATGGTCGAACAACCAGCTATCTATTCAAGTGGATGCGAGAACGCTATCCTGCCTGGCTAAAGCAAGCAGGGGGAAAAGTCCGTCTCTAACACAATTGTGGCTCACTTGCTTGATAGCAGCCACCGGGTAGACGTCAACCAATCCTTCCGAGTCATCTATAAATACCGGTGAGACACTGTAAGTTGCTGTGTCAGCAAATGCTTACGACGGCAGCGACAGTGGCCATACGGTTAGACAGCCCAGCCTTGTGCTCGCATAAGACGTTTGTGCAAGAGCTAAGGCTCCTCTGGGTGAAGACAAACATAGCATATGTGCTCACACCTGCCACTTCACGTCAATACGAAGCAAGAGAGGGAGAGCTTATGACCAAACTACTCCCCCCACCTCTCCCTAATCTCCCAACAGAACTAGACTCCGATCCCTAACGTCTGAACGTCCCTCAACCCTCTACCCATAATTAATTTATGATAATGGAATTTTCTGCATAAGATTTATTTGCGGTTTTTTCGGTGGTTGAATATGTTGTGTTTCAGACCTCCCTCGAGTCGTCAGTGAATGATGTGCGATGTAAGAGTCAGTTGTCGAACACATGTTTTCGGTAACTCATCATCAGGCCGATATATTTACTTGGGTAATGATCATTCTAATTGTTGACAGGATAATCGGACTCCATGTTTCCACGCCGCCCGCATGACGGAGTCAGCGTATTGAGGACGGTGGAGTTGGGGTGGGAGGGGGGGGGAAGGAGAAGGGTTCCGGTTATATTGTAAGCCCTGTAAGTGCGTGTGATTGCTCTCTGGGCGTCGGGGCGGCGTGCGGTCACCGTCTGGAGTCGGCCAGGGCAGACAGACTGCTAGTGTCCGCGTCTTCTGACAACCGCGCAAGTTCGACGCGGAGAAGGCACTCGCGAACGTTGTCCTAAGACGTCGTCTCACTAGTTCGCTTGCTGCGTCTCCTAAAACGACAGTCATAGAAGTAAGCCTTTCTTCTCTGTAGTTGCAACGGCCGGTTTTGTTGCACGCTCTCTAATATTCCGCGGGATTTATCGTCCCGGATAACCGTTTTCGTGGAGCGCGCTTTGCAGCTGTTGGAGGTCTGCTTCAACAGTATCAGGAGAACAGATGCGTCGCACTCTAGCCGCCAGTCCCTGGACTGAATTTCGTTTTTGATTTAAGGGAGCAAAACTGTGGAAATTAATGTTTTGTTTCGTCTAGGTTTTCTTTCTTAATATCTTGCACTGGATAGCTCCATCCTCTTGTTTGTGTAGAAGGATATCGATGAACGATTTCCAGCGATTTCTGTATATCGCCCATAAGAATTGATTCTGAAATACTTATTTATCAAAACCTGAAAAATCATGATACTTCTTGAAGGCATTTACCGGCGCAGAGAGCCTGCTGGCGTTCTTTTTCAGGTCAATGGTCGTTTGGGTCAAATTCTCAGACTCGATCAAACACGAAACACCATTGTAGAAGAGGTGGGCATTTACAACAAAAGTCAGGCGAATACAATTTTGGTCGACCGAAGAATTTTCTGTAGTACGTAACCTACTTAAAAGTGCTTCATACTGTATTCTTTTTACATATTTCTACCAACTTTTTCCTATTAAACGTTAATGTTAGAAAATAACTGACACTTTTGACCAGCCTTTTCAATTTACTGAAAAATAC